AGTAAGACACTGGGGAAGAGACCCATGAGGACAGAATATTCCCCCCGAGACACTGCTGAAACCTGAAACAGAGGAGGGCTGTGATATTTCTTGCCTGTTCTTACCAGGTTAACCTTTCACCTGCAGGACTCACTGCTTCCATTTGCCCAACCAGTGATAAACTGGAAATGAAATCACTTTGACAGCTATAAAAGGTCAGTTGTAGAAACAGCATATTTGTTTTTGCTCCGTACCTTACCTACAGCATCTGCTATTCACTGCCATGTTAGCGCATCCACAAAGAAAAAATCAGATTCCTCACTGCAGCAGAACACCGACGATACCTAGGAGCGAGATGCTAAGCCCAGAAGCCCACATCTTACCACAGCACTTGCGAAACTAGATCTTCCAGCTGCAAGAACAGAATCTGGAGGTGATTTTACAAAACTCCTGGGGATGAATTCAGGACATCTGAAATAAGGAGGGAAGGCAAGCTGAAGATGACCTTCCAAGTGCTGTTTGCAAGCATTCGCAAGTGAATGACACCTTATAGTGCTGTGTGAACGGTACAATCAGGAAATAACATATGATAAACTCTGTTACTGGCAATAATTCCTCAGCCTTTCACTTGAAGAAAACCTGACCTCCACTCTATCTGTAAGACCTTGCAGAACACTTATGTCAAGATGTACTGGGTTTTGTCATGCTTCATGAAGGCACGGTGGTAAGTATGCTGTGTTCATGTGCATCGAGTCTCCCTACTGATCTTATCAACACAGATGCACGTGCCAGGGAGAGGCAGCCCTCAAGAGAATTAAGATCTGTTGGTAACTGGTTGTTACTTGAAATACATAGTTGACTTCTCAGTATTGGGATTTTTCTCCACAACCCCCCCCCGCCCCCAACAACAAAAGTAAATTATTTGGCGCATCCCCAAAATAACAATTTCTCACGTCAACCAAACCACACATTTCAGAAATGTGAAATCTTTGTAGTTACATGAATTTTATGACTAAATTGGGAAAGGTTAATAACTTCGCAAATGGAAAAGCCATCAGCAAGTTATGCTTGTGGTCCCAAATGCGCAGGCCTTTGAACAGTGATGCAGATGTCTATCCCACAGAAATATGCTTGTATATTAAAAAGGAAAAAACCCCATGATCTACAGTCCAGGGTCCTTACATGATATGGTGCTACAACTCCAGCATATGGCAACAAATCAAAAATTCTCAGCTATACTAGTTTAAAGGGTATTCCAATTGCCCTCATTACCACTGGCCTTTTACTAACACTGAGTGCTGACCTGAGCTACAGTTGCGTAATCCCCTGCCACAGAAAACTGCTGTTGCAAAGCCAAAGAATATTTGAGATACCTGACGTAACAAAGAGATAACCAATGGCACATGTATTCTTTCCAGGCATGGTTTATTGAAAACACACCAAATTGTTATCCTACATACCTGGTTTCTAACAAGCATTCTACTTGTCTGCGTTATGGAAAGATCCTATAATAATAATCATACATTCTGTCACGGTAACATTTGTTCTATGAAAAGCATAATCCACCTTTTTTTTTTTTTCCTCTCCATACTTGTAAAATCAAACCATTCTAAGTGTTTCAGTTTATAGTACAGTGTAAATACAATGCAAAATCCCACCAGTCTAAACTACAGAGAGAATGTTGAGCAGTATTACAGAAAACACATTGTTGATTTTTTTTTTTTATTCTCCTACCATGAAAATTTTAAGGCACATGATAGTTACAAACACATTAGCTACTAATTACCAGTAAGCTTCTTAGACTAGTTATTTTGTTTTTCTGAACAGTAAGAACCAGATTTGGCAGGCTTTGTAGTATCTGCGCTATCTTCCTCCTCACCTTGGACTTCAGAACATCCTACCCTGATGCAAAACTTAAGACAGAAAAAAAAGGTTCGTAATACCTTCCCCTTAAATGCACTAGATTAGTTACTGTACCAATAGATCAGAGAATTTCTCTGTCAAAGATAAAAACCCACCGGATTTTATCGGAATCAAAACAAAGAAATTTTGCAAGAAACTATGCCTATATAAACACCTTCAAAAACCATGAGAGCACAACTCCACCCCAACAGCACAAAAACGCTGGCTGAAGTTATTGGCACACTAGTTTTCACTGAATGGACAGTTGGACAGCAGAAGAGGCTATAACCACTCTAATGTGCCCATTGGGCTTCTGAAACTTTGCTTGCTCGAAAGGTTTAAGATGTGCACCTCTCTCACAGGTAGCTGAGCCTATTTGCTCAACTTTAAGGCAAGTAGCAGAAGGTAACTCGCCACCTTCAATCTCATAGAACTGCTCTAGGAGTGAAAACTGCTTTGCCCAGCATAAGCCTTGCACGCTAGAAAGCACTACTGAAAACTGCTCCTCAGAGCTGGCAAGAACTTACTCATCTGCTGTAACAAACATGCCACCCTTGATGTGTGACTTAGAGCAAGTCAGCTCCTAGTTCCCAAGTCAGTCCCTTTCACGATGTCTTGGCAACAGACACAAGATTTGCTTTCCTGATACAGACGCATTCAGAATTGGCATGTCTGAGTGCACGAGGGTAGAACTAGGACAGGCAGGTCTTTTGCCCAGAAAACACTGAAGATCAGGACCTATGGCTGCCCAAGCTGTTCTCTGGGGAGCATTTCAAGCTGGCAACACATCTTGAGTTGTCAAGTTACACTTATGGCTAAATTGCTACTTAACTCCAAGACAGAAACAAAATGTCCTAAAGCCTTGCCTTCCCACTCTCCTCCATGGATTCTGCAGCCAGACCAACCAACCTCAGAAGCTGTAAGCACAAGTACAATTGCTCACACACTCAAACTTGATGCTTCTCCAAGGGAGTCTTGACACGCAATGTTTCCTTTAAAACCTCCACAGCTTAGTGAAGATCTTTAGGAGATGCACAAGCCATCTCCCTGTGAAGAAAGTTCTGCAGTAATTACATGCCATCAGAAGTCTCCCTCTCCCCTATGTTATCTCAGCCCTCGCTGGGTCATCAAATTTTCTCCTCCTCTTTAGCAGGAGTCTTGCAACACCATCACTTCCTTCCACAACCATCCCTCCCACTAGAATTTCTGCAGGTAGAAATCTTCTACCCGAGCCCTTTGCAGGCAGATTCCCTCCAGTTTTCACAGTGGAGCCAACAGGAAAAGAGGAGGTCGCATACCTGAGCCCTAAAAAGCACTGCCTGCCTTTTAGCAGGAGACTCTAGACCCTACTGCAGCTTTAGTCACACACACTGCCACTTTCCCTTCTTTACATACAGTCCCTGCTGCCAAAATACAACAATTACAGGTTCATCCACCCACATCCCAGAACAGCTCAAACAGCCGGTCACACTTGTGCCAACGAGGGGAGAGGTAAGGGCAGGTGTAGGCACCCATCTCACCAGTGAGCTCGTGGCCATAGATAAAAGGGACATTAAATCACCAGACCTGGTTCAAAGTATCTTGCTTTGGACTTCAGCTGGTGGGCTGATAATACAAGGCGGTTAAGTCCCACATGCAAGTCACCTCCCCAATCCATTTTCCTTCCTCAATATCCAAACAACAGTTTGTTGAGAAGAAAAAAAAACATAGCAATGTAAATGATGGGTTATTGCTACATACTTGTGAATTTGTCATTATTGTAAGGCATGGGAAGGGCAGGGGTAAGACGCGAGATTCCCAAGGGAAGTCTTGGCCCACGGACTTGGTATTTGTCTTCTTGATATACCATCCTTTGCTTTTCTGCAGCAATAAACCATGTTGTCAGCTCACAACTACGCTGGCTGCCATGAACGCTTACCCCCAGGAAAACAAAGAACAGCTTGCTACAATGACCCTGGGCAGGCAACGCCATCTAACCTGACAGGGAGGTTTGCTTATCACAGGATTCAGTGTAAATATAAAAAGGACTTTTGGGGGAAAGCGGGATAGGGTCTGAATTTGCTTCTTGAATACTCCTCGGTCTTGTTAGCCCACTAATGATACAGACCAAAGTAGATTCCAATCCAGATTTCGAGTGTCCCTTTAGTGCCTCACTGAGAGCCATGCGATAGGAGGTCATGGACATAACTGGCCCCTAGTCAACTCACTTTCCCCTTCCTGCAGTTTTCTCTGTTGACCTCTTGCTGGCTTTGAAATATCTGTACAGTAACTAAATCACAAAGTCTTAGCAGAGACTCCTTTCAACAGTCAGGTCTTTATTTTAAGTGAACTTTTGCTCAGACTCCTTTGGTAGATATATGGTTTGAAGTAGATCAGGGACAGACTGACAGCACGGCCCTTCTCTTACACTGTTCTACAGCTACAAAGCAGGTTCCATTGCTAATTACTGAACGTTTTTAAAAAAATCCTTTCATATACAAAAAGAATACACCAAGTACATAACCAAAAGTGATATAAAACTCTTCTCTGTAGCTTGGTTAAAAGGGTCTCCGCGTATTGGCAGAACAAGTATGAAAAGAGCACCATTGATATAATATACAGTCAGACTATGTATCTGGTTTCATTGCCACACTTTATGTCTACACACAGAGAGACACTGCCCCGACACAGATAACCACAGATGTATCTCTTTGCTTTCCTTTGATCCGCTGAGCATCTTTGGCCCAACAGGACACTCTTGTGGGTAAAAAACCAAATCTTTGCTATCTTAATTTGCTCCAAGCAGCTTCAACCTTCCCCAGGATCCAGAAGTGACCACTGCAACGTACACGGAAGATGAGGGTCAAAAGGGAGGGTGCAAAGGAGCACATGTATCATCCAAATCACTGACAGCTTCTGGCATCAGTCTTTTTCCCTGAATCAACAAATGCTTCCCTCTCCTGCAAACTACTTTATGTGGTTTTGTTAACCTATCCTCTGCACAACAATATATATATATAGATATATAGATTTTTTTATTATTTATTTATATATATGTATTCATGTCAAATTTTTAATATACTTAAGAAGATACAAAGCTCTTGGTACTTGCTTTTTTTTAAGTTTTTAAATTTTTTTTTACAAAAATTTTAGATGTTTACTATTACAGTAATATTCTGGGGGAGGTGAGGTTGTTGGATATTTCCCCTTTTTAATTACAAAGGAAATGGCAGGCACTGAAAACAGCAAATGATGGTTGCTAGATTCAAAAAATGTGCTTTCCAGTCACATCACTTTTAGGAGCTTGTTTGAAACTAAACGTGGCAATCCAAGAACAGTGGCAACCAAATAAAATCAGCAAAAGTCCTCTGATGCTACTAGTGAGACATTTGCTTCCTATTCTTATCTGCTGCCCTCCCTTGACCAATGCCTGGAGAAAATCAGTGATCTGAAGTCATTTAGCTTATGGCATCACCAGATACCATATATGCAGAGTACGGTCTTGCAAGGTAAAAATTCCCCCTTACACAAAGCAGGCCTTGGCATCTTAAGAGGAGAACCGTTGCACAAGGGTGATTTTCACGCCAAATGAAGTATGTAATCTGAAAACAAAACCAAAGGAACACAGAAATGATGATGATTTAAAAAATGCCAAACCAGTTCCCTTTGTGGCATTTTTCATCACGATCTAGAGCCCAAAGCAAACATGGATCCAACAGTGATAAATTTACCATCAAATGTAAGCGACAGACCCATCCAAAATTTATAGCATATTCAAAATAAGACGTCCTATGAAAAAACTCCTATTTTCTTTCAATATCTTAACAGCTATGGCAAAAGAAATTGTTAATCATCATCAACGCAACACTGGTACATTTGAAATATAAAAGCTCCTTATTGCAACCTTTGAGAACAAGAAAATAAAAAGCCAGCCAACTCCATTTCTCAGCATAGATTTCTGAACCAGGGACACCAAAACCTTCAATAAACTGCTTTTCAATACGTGGAAATAAAAACAGAGCCATTACAGAATTCAAAAGGCAGAAGTATTGTACACCAGATTATAATGATAATATAGCACTGTGATTGATATAGCTTACTCTAAAAGCAGATTATACAGCTTGCATCAATTTTGTCATCCACTCCCCAGTTCATTTGACCAGTGTTTAATAGTTTTTCTTCTTCATTTTCTCCCTTCATTGAAATGCAATAAACTCACTCAATGTTCCTGCACTTGCTGTGGAAATAATAAAGAAAACCTAAACATTTTTCAAAAAGCCTTTAAAAATGTTAGATTCACAGTTCAAAAGAAATCCCCCAAAACAAAAACCAAAACAACGAGCCCCTAACCAGAAAAGTGCTATTATCTTCATAGCTACACCTACGATGTTATTTCAAATATTCTGCAGTTTCTTTTTCACTTGTGAAGCTGTCGTCTTTGCTGCCGTGTGACCTTCACTTCTCATACTTGGCACCATCCACACATAAGAGTCAGCTAAGAACGCAGCAGCTAGATGGAAGCCTGGATCCTATTTTCTTGCAGGAGTGGGAGGGCGGGGGAGGTGGCGGCTATTTGTGGCGGGAATGTAACTGAGTTAAAAAGCAAATTGTCTCGCTGTAAGGCATGGTGCTCCAGGGTTGGCAATGGCAGTCAGTTGTGTTTTCTCCCCACATCCTCCTAGAATCTGCAGCCCGGTCAGTGATGCAGCGCCCCCAAATCCGAATGGCAGTGGTGACTGATGAGATCCTCTGTGTCGATTCAATGTTTGTTTCTCCCCCTCAATTAAAAAAAATGTGGTTGGACTCTAGCCCTGCAAAATAAAGTCAAAACTGATTAATACCAGCAAGTAATATGACCTTGGTGGTCTCCATCACCCACTGGTAGGACAGTGACTAGAAACACCAACCCAACCCCAGTATACGGGTTCCTTGAAGGGTATGACTGGGAGAAAATGAGCACAGCCTTCATTTTTCAAAGCCTGTACCCCACCTGTAAGCCTTCACTGCTCGGAGATGAGCGCAGGAGTGAAGCATATGGGCACTACACACATACGTTCCTTTACCCCTGCCCTTTGGCTGGGCCAACAAGGCTGACCAGGCAGTGCCGACCAGCTGTAGGATGCCAACGGTGCCCGTGCCCGCTCCATGGCTACATAAGAGTACCTGGAAGTGTTGAATTCCAACCCAGGAACAGAATCAATCTGTAAACACTTAGCTCTTAGACTAGACTAAATGAAGAAGGAGGGGGGAAAAAAATAATCCAACACCACCACACAAAAACATACAGGAGTTTTCTCTCCCACTAACGCAAGTGTTTTCCATGTAGAATTATGGGAGTGAATGGTGCTTTGGAATTTGGGCCTTAAAGGCCTGCTGTCCACTCTGATGGGAAAGTTGCCCAGTGCCTTCACAACAGTCACTAAGATTTTCCTTTAGTCATAGCCAGGTGCACAAAACCTGCTGTTCCAAACATAGCGTCACATCTGATGAGTGCCAGAAGGTATAACGGGGGTAGAGGGCTGTCTAGCAAGACAGCAGGAGACAGATTAGCAGTGGCAGGAGCAAAGAAAGGCCAGTGACATTACTGAGGAACTTGGCACGTGGCAAAGGCACAGAACAAGAAAGCGACAAAAAGGCACCTTTCTTTAGCAACAGGGAAAAAAAAAAAAAAAGGAATTGAGAATTGGGAGTTGTGGGTCAACATTTATTGTGTAACCAAAATCATCTCTCCTTGCAAAGTAACTTGTGCACAGCCAGCAGCTTTCCTGCAGATGTGCAGGGCTGCGTAATTCAGGGGAACCTTAGGGGACATCCATGAATAGTCAAGGATATGCTTTTCCTTAAGTCTCAGGCTAATCCTTAGAATGCACATAGAGGGAAAAAATGGCTGGAAGCAGGAACACACTATTCAGATTAATTCCCATGGCCTAACAGCAGAAATCTTTCACATTTCAGCTGACAACTGATCATTCACAATATCAATTTTCCGTCTGGCTATTTGACAGGTTATTTTTTAATCAAACAGTGGTGTTTGATTGCACTCCATTAAAGACATACTGAATAATATAACCACTTTTTTTTTTTTTTCAAACGTATTTCCATTTGTCTGAAAGGACTCAGTTAGCAGTTAGCCTTGAAGAGATTCCACAGCAATACAGATCATGCACGAGACAAGTTAATCACTAGCACCAATTACCATTAAAAGGACCTACCATGCATGCAAATTAGACCCAGGAGTCAACAGGCTGGGGTTTAATGTCACGGGCATCCACCAGATTCACCGAAGCCCTGTTACTCCTGTTAATGTTTTTCCTATTTGTGTCATTCTGCAGCAGAGGGTGAGGAGTTAAAGGCAAAATAGAGCGGATTAATCAAACAAAACCACCAAACAAGTCAGCTTAAGGAAGCACAAGGGAAAATTAGTGGTAGAGAAAGAAACAAGATCAGCAAAGGCACAATACTGACAAAAGCATCTGCAACAGCCAAAAGGCTGCATTTCCCTGCCATCATTTTTCACAATTCTCCAACCACTCTTGAGCCTCAGAGCCATGGTTATCAAACAGCTCACATGCCAGAAGACCCCACAGATACATTTCTGTTTCACTGCACAGCAAGAAGGATGAGTAGCAGCTACTCAGCTCTGCCCAACGGAGGGCATGGCAGCGCATACCTTCGGTGTGTACAACACGCTGATTCAGGCTACCCTCTGCCTTTAAAACCAAGAGGCACCCCAGACTATAGGAGCCATTGTCAAGGCAAAATGTTTTTTCTCTTTTTATCATGAAAGCAAAGTGGCCGCTCACTGAACTCTGGGTCGTGCTTCACTTCAGCCATATACTGGAGTTTGGGCTGCTTGATGGGATTTTGAGGGTTGTATCAAACCACGTTAGTGAGCTTTGAGTGGCAAAAATAACAAGTATTTGTTAATTTTCCTGCCTTCGCTTATTTTCCTTAGAAAGACATTTTCTGTCAAGCTCCTATTGATCAACGTTCTTATGGCACTTGGTGCATCCATTCCCACTGCATCCTTGCAAAACTTATTAGAACTGTGATGAGGGAACTGGAAAGTTTATTCTGTTGACGCTGGTTCACGCAGGGCCATCTCTTGCACTGGAGCAGGGGGGCACACTGCATGACTTGAGTGATGAGCTCAGTTTCATCACTTCCAAAAACAAGTGAGAGAGCACAACCACATCCACCAAAGAGTCTAACTGGCAGCCTCCAACAGGGTGCAGCTATAGCCAGAACTGGCAAACTGAAGAGAGTCATCTGTGCTTAAAAAACGTCCGGCTGGATTGAAGCCATTCTCCAGGGTACACCTTCACAGAAAGGCAAGGCATAGCAGGAAACGCATGAGCAGACAAGTTAATATAGGCAGACTGATGCAGCAGGACATCTTCCTAATTCATGATCTATGGAAATATTTTTCTCCAAATCACATTTTTATTTCCCTTGTTCAATAATAGTAGGTTTCCTTTCAATTGACTGAAGTTTAATTGTTTCCACTCAACATGAATCACCTGGATTTTCTGATAGTATCAGCAACGTGCTGAAGGTTATTAAGGACAGTCTTTTGCAGACTAACAACAGTGTTTCCTATCACTGACTCATGTTTCAATGAATCCTCCTCTTCCTCCTCAAAATTACTTCCCCAGCAGAAAACACAAGCTTGTTTTGAGGCTAGAGAGAACTGACGGCCACAGCATTAATCAACTTTTTAAGAGGTACAGCAATGCAACAGAAATTACACGGAGCCTACTAAGCCACGTTTGAACACAACCCACAATACAAAGAGCTCTGTGAAGTCAGATTGTCCAAGTTTGCTTTTAGAAGGCACCCACATAACTACGTTTGTCTCTTTTCCCTCTCTGTCTCCTTGGCCCATGCCTATAGTTCACCTTCAGGACTGTGAATGAGCGCTGCCGAAACAAACACTGTTCACCATACCGCTGTGACACAGGCAGACAAGCTCACACCTACTGCGCATGGTGAAACCAATACAGCAGCGTGACGGTTTGAAGTGACTATTCTCAGAACAAATTCTGAACGCACTTACACACTTTGGGGCTAGGGAATGCGGTCTGTACGAGGGTGACAGAACAAACACTTTCTATTTTTACAACCTCATCCATTCACAAGAATACAGCGACTGCCTGCATTTGCTCCTGCACTGGAAAGCACCATTTTGTTTTTATTTCTAGCTAGCCAAGTGCTAAGTTACAAAATAGTGCCTTTATCTAAAAAAAATAAAAGCCCTTTACAGCCCCCTGGTGAGTAACTACTCTATATTTCTTGCTGAGGACACTGGGCTTCCTTTCTTTTAAAGGCACTAACTAGCATTCAGCAGTAAAGAGGAAGCTCACTTTTAAAGGCTCTTTCTCCGAGGCATCCCCGGTGTTATCGCTGGTCTTGTATTTGCGCTCCTTGTCCCGGTGATCGATGGTGGAGTACCCATCTGAGGAGAAATAACATGACAGTCAGGCACGAAGCACAAATAAGAGCAGAAACAGAGCTGATGCAAGCAGAATTCTTCAGCAAAGAAACAGGAAAATAAACCATCACAAGCCCACAATGATGGCAGCCTGCTTCTCGCATGTGCTCCAGCTCTGAAATTTCATTTCTACCAGCTTAAAATGAAACAGAAAAGCCCTCTTTTTGTATCACTGCCAGATGCTGGCACTCATTAGCAAGCAGCACTGTTTTCATCCCAGCCTGCTGCACTTTTTAGCGTGCTTAAGGAAGGCAGCAAGTTGTCATCTTGCGCCCTGTGGCTAATGAGCTCCAAATTCAGCCCAAATCCTGTGTTCCTTGCTTAGCAGCCTGATTAATTGGCTGTGTTCGTTCTCGGAATGCTCTGCAGCATGTTCCCACTCTTCCTGAGCCCGACTACTAGCAGGACACGACAATAATTTGGAAAAGTCCCCTTCAGAGCACTGAGAAAAAGGGCCTGTCGAGTTGGGAGAAATCTGATGCAAGCCCTGCTGTGCTTGGACTGCTTTTCATTACAAAGTAGCACCTGTTGGTGCTTTTTCTCCTGACAACTAAGAAACAATATGAAAGCATGAGGAACACAGGGAAGGAAAGGGGGAGAGGGTTTTACAAAGAGGTGGCTCTAATTATTTCAGAACCTTTGCTTTGAATCATTGTCAGCCAATGCAAATCTTAATTTACTTTCCTGATGCACCAAATTTCCCTCATTATCAGTGACAAATAGATTCTCTCCTGCTCTGCTTTGACAGCATCGTAAACTGCAGTAGATGTCACTCAAATTTATAGCTCCCTGCAGGCTTTTGTTTTCCCCTATGTGATTGCAGGATCATTAATGCTTTCATGTCCTGACAAACTGGGTTCTTTGAATATCACAAAGAGCTTTTACATAAACTATCAAAATCCTCCTCTCTTCGTTCATTACTTGCCTGCAACAGGTCATTAAGAAAAGTCAGTGATGTTTTTTGTGGGGTTCCTGTGGCATACAGAGGCACTGTTTGCCCATGCGACAAAAGCAGACGCAGATAGAGCGACTGGTACCAAACACAGTCGCAGAGCAGGGCCCTAAACAATGTTTATGCTGGCCACGGCCAGGTTAGCTTTAAAAGAGCTGTTGCTTTCCCATGTATCTCACGAATCACAAGTGCCCACAGACGTGCAACAAGCACATGATGTAGCATATATTTATGAGATCATGGATAGTAACAGATTATTTACCCACGCTGCCTAAAAGTAACTAAAGAATTTTGGATGTGTACACGTAGTACACAGAAAATAACGGATACACAGGGCTTTACTTACAATTTTTTGTTAACAATGAAAATGCCTAACATTCTTGGCTATTCCTTTTGAATAAAAAAGAAAAAACCTAAAGCCTGCCAGCTGCCTCCAGCTACCCAGCCAGCATTTGTGGAGGAACGCATGACAAATAATTCTTCAAATGACAGGCATGAATACAGCTAGTAAGTCATATCCTAATCTAAAGATTCATCATTTTTTTAGGAGTAAGGAGTTCACACAGGTATGTATTTCAATGACAGAAACATGCTGACTCCCCCCTTGATAAAATCAAACTCACACCAATGAGTGGTTACTTTTTACTATCTAATATTAATTATACTCAAAATGGTGTAAGGGATCACTTTGCATTCTTGTAGTGCCATTATCATGGGTGATCCACAAACATTTTCAAAATTAATTGCCAAGATACAATTTAACCTAGCCCGAGAAAGCAACACCTACTAAGTGAAGTATGGCAGCTGTGATACTTCCCAGGGAGCAAGGTTGGAAGTAAGGACTGTAATCACAAAAAACTAAAACCACAACAGAACTTTAATACTACTAAAAAAATCCCCCATGCTTAGCCAGGACAGCAGCGACAGGAAGATCAAGATTTTTGCACAGTGGCAGTAATCTAACAACAACGAACAGTCAAATTTTTCTTCCTATCTAAGTTCCAAGATATTTTGCAATTCGAACTGTCAGCCCACTGGTGTGTGGTCTGCATGCTAACGGTGCCGCACACACCAGCACTAATGGATTATGTGTTTCTAAAAACCACACACTGTGCTATGACTCTGTCAAGATAAGCAGCAGCGGAGATAGGAAGTTCATGGCCTGACCTAACAAAATGAGAAATACCTTGAAGGGGGCTGCATCAGAGAAGGAACACCTCAGTGCCCCAAGGACCATGGCTCTCCAAAGTAATTAGAAAATACTGCTTCTCCCATGTTACAAATGAATTCTAAAAAGTGATCAGCATTAACTTTGTTTCTGTGGCATAAAGGAGACCTATACAGCTCTTACTGCTCCAAGGCAGAGGAGCATTATTCTGAGTTATACAATCGAATGTATAGACTAAGGTTAGAAGCACGTCCCATTCTTGGCCATTTACTCCCCTCTCTCAACTTTCTGCTTGTTGCCTTCTGTACTGCTTCACTGAGTATCTCCCATTCACTCTGCAGCAACATTTTTATGTCATCACAGATTACAGGATCAAATGCCTGCTGAGTGTCAGTCCATCCGTGCCCTCGCACAGCTCTCAACTTGCATCTGAACTATGTATCTCTAGTCTGAACAATTCTCAGCTTACACATGCTCATGTGACTGACTGTAGGTTAACTGAGGCACAGATACAGTTTTAGAGAAGTCACGAATTTGGCATATAGCCTTGAGATCACAGTTCTGCTGCTTCTACAGACAGCTCAGGGTCACAGCCACCCTCAGGCAGCACTGTGACAGTAAGCATTGATGATCTTCAGATTACTTGGTGCAGAGTTACTTGCCTGGAGCTGATGAGGTCTGACAGACCATCTCTGCACTGGGCTGTCTAGTGCACCCCCCAGTAACTCGTAATACATGTCTTCTTCCATCTCCCAGGACATCTGTGCTCCACCCAGGCCTTCCCATTGCTCTATTCTGACTGGTCTAGTACTGCCAGCTGATGGGGAGCATATGTTTCTGCCACCCTAGCCACACTGATAGTGAATTAATTTCTTTTATAGAGAAGGATGACCCTCACAGCACTAACAAGCTGAGATACCAATAGCAATTTTCTTTTTGCAATCTTGAAGAAGAGTGTACATGGGTTAACAGTAAAGGCCCAGCACCAAGACAGCCGGACCCTGATAAAAAGGGGCAACAGATGAGCGGCAGACAGGCGGTGATGTTCTGGAACAAGCAGTCTTGTACGCTGCAGCGGAGCAGGATGAACGCTCTGGGCTGGAAGGATCTGGCTGGACAGGTGGGTACCTCTAACGTGTGTGGCATGGAAACTCACTGAGTTCTGTGCTGGCACACTCTAATGTGTTTGAGGCAATTACAGTTCTCTACCAAAGCAGTACAGCAGAAAGGTAACTATGCAACGGGGAAGCGTGTAAATTAAATCAAATGGACAACATAAAGCTGGAGACAGAAGATAATTCTCTAAAAGACAGTGAATATAAAGATCTTGGGGTGAGTTAAGTCAGAAATAGGAAAGCAAGAGAAAACGTGCAACTGAAAAAAGAGCACAGGACTTTCTCCAATAAAAAGATAAATGGGAAGCCAAACAACTTTCTTTGGTACTTGGTCACACATTTTGTTTGCAAACATAAGTGAGGTCAGTCTCTCCTGGAGATTCAATGTAGAGTATGTGGGGATACAACCAAACTGCTTACTGGTGGTACAAGCCCAGAGGACTGCACGTTGATGTTCTGCTCCTTATATCTGCCAGTTCACTCCAGAGTGGAAAAAGAACAAAAACTCCAGAATACAACAGTCCACAACGAAGTTAAAAATCAGAAAATATAGTCTAGAGCAGCAGTAAGTATGCCCATAAGACAACAAACACATGGCATTTGGAAGAGCCTGAAGGAAACACATGAAGTACTAAATTGTTATTCCAGTTCCTTGGAATTAAGGACAGTAAACTGGATACATTAATTTAGTCCCTCCTCAGTTGACCTCCGAAACAGCACAGCCATACTGTAGTTAAAAAGCACTCAAGAGCTGGGGTCAGGAAAACTTTGACACATTTCATCTTCTAATAGTGATAAAAAGGATTGGAGAACAGCCCAGGAAATCTGTGATGTGGTACATATGCTGTTAATTTGCATTTAATTTTGTACTCAGAGCTGTATCAGTAACTCCTGAAAGCATAAGGCAACAATTAATATGGAGACTATAAACAATCAGCACTGCCCATACTGCAGCACCTGCTAGCACACAGCTATCCTGCCAGGCAATCTTCTCTGAAGTTATTTTCTTCCACTGTGAGAACAAATGTTTCAGTGTTCCCTTAGGCAAAATACACAGGGACAGTTGATTCATGGCAGGTGGCATCTCATTTTTCTAATACAAAAGGTAATATATACCTGCTGTTTTCACTTCTGAACATGCTTGGCTTTCAGCTTCGTTCTAACTTGCTATTTTTTTCAGCTACAATCACAAATAGCAGTATATCAAACTGTTTGATTAGGAGGCATTAATACGGGTATTTAAATAAAAATAACGTCAACTGGAAGTAGTAAAGCAAATTCCCAAGAGACCACACAGAACCTTTATGTACCCCAGTAAAGAAAAAGAAATCCTCTACAGGTCTTAAAATACAGCGCTTATCAATCTCAAAGCACTTCATTAGGTGGCTGTTCTCAGTCTACAGGAAAAGCCAGATGCAGGCAAGTGAAAGGGGAAGCGGGAATAGCAGCACACACACTAACTTGTCTTTGGTCTTACCTACATTAAACAAAGGCAGAACGGATTTAAACACAAGCGTTACAGTGAAGTAAATTTTCAACTCTTCTTTTTTTTTTTTTTTCCTTTCCCTTCTGAATCCCCAGACTTCCAGATCCATAACAGGGAATGCAGCTGCCTCAAGGGCCAGAGACTAGAATGAAAGCTAGGTCAGCGTTTTTTTTTTTTTTTTTTTTTTCCTTTCCCTTCTGAATCCCCAGACTTCCAGATCCATAACAGGGAATGCAGCTGCCTCAAGGGCCAGAGACTAGAATGAAAGCTAGGTCAGCGTATCTCCATTATATGCTTAAAGTAGTGGAGAAATTGGTGTGTACACTCTACATGTATTTAAAAAAAAAAAAAAAAAGAAAAAAAAAAGAAAAAAAGACAGGGGGAGTGGGGGGGGAAGACAACGACCAATCTTTTGTAAGGTAATGTTCTGTTTTTAAATGTCAGCTTTATCCATCCGAAAGAATACCACCTAGAGAAATAGCTGAACTTTCCCGTGAGTGACAGTGTGCTCTATTGAAACAGACAGAGGGTTTGATCTATGACTGAATTTACCTGGGCCAAGTTCATCCATAGGTATCATATCACGACTCCCAGATTTCTCGTTATCTATAAAACAGAAACATTGAAAGGACCTGAGTTACATTTGCTTGTCTCAAGACCTGGTAGTTTTAAACTAGTCACAGGACCTGAGAGGTCCATGAAGTGCTAAACACAGACACTACTGTAACAAAACCCCAAACTATTCAACTGTTATCCATTCAGAAAGGGAAGTTTGATTTAAGCTCTCCAGAGAGCACATGTAATCCTTGTATTTTCTGCTTTGGCACTGTAATATAGAACTCCCCCTCTCCAAGTGATAACAGAAACCACAATTCTGCTTTGGACTACCTTCCGCTATTAACAAGCTTCTCTCTGGTCTCTCCAGAATAGAAGAGAAAGAAAATAAGTAAGGATGCAGCTTCACATGGCACACAATCCAGTCTAGCAGCCTGCTGAGCCAACAGAAAGCTAACCCACAAAGAAAACAAGAAGTTTATTGTCAGATCAGCAAACTGACCCAAGCCATCCTCTGTCTGCATAGTCTGACAGATTTGATCAAAGACAGGGAAGGTGGAAACAGGCAAGGCAGTGTGGGGCTGTCTGTTCTGCAGTAATCTGCAGTTAAACCTGGTAAAGTGCAACATGGCAAACTCTGCCACAGGAGACTACAGATTTCTAAAAAAGAAATTTTGACATCAAGGGTTAGAAACTAGAACCAGATTCAGAGACAAAGTAATCATAATGAAACTAAAGCTGGAGCTACACCAGTGTTGGTACGGCTGCCTCAGGCCTCATGAACAAGGACAGACAGGTTTAGCTAGTGTTTGATAAACCATCTCCAACAAAAACCCCCTGCACAGTAGAGGAAGGAGCACTGCCAGCACAGGCACACATATTTAGAAAGGAAAAGACTCCAGCACTGAGTAGGGGTAAGGCCAAGCCAACTGCCTGGCTGAAGGCTAGATTTATTAACATACGACGTTGTCAAACAAGGCTGTTCCCCTCTTTCAAAGTTCCATGTCGAGCCTATCCCAAATTCTCTCAGGAAGATTTAACTGCTTGTTAAAACTGATGTTGCCTACAAGTTGAGAAAACAACATTAGTAGTATACATTTCACAAGGAAAGGAATATTATCCATATCTAGCTAATAGGAACGATAATTTCAGAACTGTGGGATAAAAAGCACCACATAAATAATACATTTTTTACCCCCTCACTGCTGGCCCTATCACTCCCATAACCCAGATGCGGCAAATCCAGAAAACAAGCAAACAAAGCACAACAGGAAAAGTGATAAACAGCAGAACTGACCTTGACTTTTATCCACCAGAGGCAAAGTGCTGTCATCATAGCCAGACCTGCCAGCAGTACCTTTGGAACCCTTTGGAGTTGCAGAAACAGACTACAAGGAAAAAAAAAATTTTTAAAAAAATTTGCATAAATATGAAATTGCTACTCAGGGAAACTGAACAAGAAAAATAAACCAACAGTATGGAGAGACACCATGGAACGCTGCTAAGCCCCCCTTTCTGTTGATAATACAGCACTGCAGTGTTTTTTATTTTCATATAGATTTGTTGATGGAATATTTTTCTTGTTATCTAAATGGTAGCATTGTGGGTCTGTAAAAGGAGCTCAACCTTTATCACAAGGAAAGATGAGGAGGCTGCATGTCAAGAACAGGTGGCTGTCCTGCACTGCTAGATGGAATGTTTTGAGTAAGAGACAACTGAGAAAAGACATGCTAATCGTTCCTCCAGTAAAGCACAGGCGTTTGGCCTATACATCCAAACATGTATGGCATACATCCAAACCCTCAAGAGCTACATTTCACAGACCACTGAAAAACATACCCAGCAAGTATATGCACGATGCTGTGACTGAACAGATTACTGTACATTGCTCTATCACCTAGAAGAACAGAATCAAAGCCCACAATCTATTGGACTTTAGTATTAGACTAAGTTAGGACATCTTCCACTCAGGCATTTCCATAACTACTAACTAAATCTAAGACCCAGCATCTTTACCTGGAAATGTGATTTGTTCCACCCATCCTTCTGCAGGGCATTTCGTAGCTCTTTATAGCTCCAGATCATCTGAAGAACGTGAGATGCTGCTTTTGTTTCTCTGGGAGACTGGCTGATTTGCAAGATAAAATTAGAGCTTTAGTATCAAACAATGTAAGACTACCCATATGCTGACTCCTTTGCACCAAAACAATATCCAGAAGATACAGAATACTCCATATAAAGCTATTCTTTAACTTTTAAGCTATAGGATGTAAGTGAAATCATTCAGTGACTTCTTCATATCTATAGGTATTTGTTGACAAAAAAAACCTCCAAAAAGCTGTAAATTGCGCAGATTTATGGCTTTTCACATGTATTGCTGGGCAAGCACTGAAGCCAGGGTGACTCTTTTGTCTTCCAGTTGTCATTAACAAAAGATGGATTCCATTGTACCTGGATTTATTTAGTAAAAAAACAACCCACAACACCAAAACCAATTTCTAAGGCACTTTTTAACCTTCACCCCAACTTACATATATTCCTCACAATCCAATGAAGTTGCTTCGTGGTTTAGAATACCTTACTAAGCAATTTGGGTCAGCAAAAAATAAGCTATTTTTAAACAGGAAATTAAATTTTATCCATTCCTTACTAAGTCAACCCACAAGCACCCTCTATAAAATAAGAGCAGGCTAGATTCTTGGTTGGCTGTTATGTTTCATAACCATGCAAGCCTACAAAGTCTTCAGCTTCTCTCCCAAAAGTTTTCAGCAAATACACCTATAAAGAAGCTCATGTCTAATTGGCTGAACTACATGAAAGAAACTTCCCTCTAAAGTAGTCAGAACACAGTTTTCAACCAAACTGCAGAGTGAAAATTTGTCACTGCAGATGAGCACCACCAGCCCTTCGGCCAGAACGATTACTGCACATCCTTAACCGTTTTACTTAAAAGACAAAGATGTCATCACTGGCATTCCAGGAATGGAACACTGCCACAGGAAAAAGGCCTCCCACACCGAAAATAAAGACAATGGTTTCACTGCAAATGTCTGCTAAATGCATACATGGTGCTAAGATGTATCTGACAAGGAGAGAGCATGCCTTAACACGACTGAAGTGACCACTGAACTGTTTTTTTGTAATCAAGTGAATCTGTTAAAGGTGCTGGCTATTTTTACTGCATATATATTAATTGCTCTGAAAGGTTAGGATGCTTCAATACTTTCTCAAAGCAAAAGCTGCTGTTCATAGGGACATTTTCATGTTTGCAGTGAGTTCTTATGCATTTTGCTTTGAACTGTCACTTACCTTGACTTGCTGATAGCTACCAGCTTCTGAATGCCCTGTGTCTGGATCAGAGACCTTGCATTTTCTGAGCTGTCAGTAATGATTTCATGGATGGTATTCAACACTGCAACCACTGTGTCCTCTTCCAGATTCTTTGCAGATCTCTGCTGCCTGCTGGGCAAATTTCTTACCAGCTCACCCATGGCATAACTACCTAGATAAGGGGAAGAGATACCCTAACAATCATTTCAGCCCCAAGAATCATTTCAGCTTCCCATCCTGAATGATAAAACTCAAGGGTGTTTGCCATGTCAAAAACTTTACAAGGTACGTGTTTCGAACCTCAAGACTGTAACTTAACAGTGTATTTATCATTCATTATTTCAAGGTGATTGAGAGTTGATACCCACGGCAAAGTCCTTCATTATGAATGCTAAAAGGTAGTGAAGTGGGGGAAAAAAACCCTAGCAATCTTTACTGAGAATTTTACCAGCATCTATCATACTTTGCAATGCCTGAGGCAAAAAGCATCCGGTAGCTGCTGCTAATGCCACATATTCATGCTAATACACGCACATGGCTTACTCAACTTAGCCTTGTAATGGGCCTTCTGGGGCAAGGTATGCAGCCATGCATTTATTAACCTTCCCCCAGCAAAGGTAAGAGTATTTCCTCCTGGGTGCAGTTAGCCTTCTCAGTGTATAGTACTGGAGAAAAAACCAAGGAGTCCGGAGTTTATCACTCCCAGGTGTCCGTCTGTACTGTTTGCCTAGCTACACCTCTGAACTACTAAAAAAAGAACCTGATGTATTAAGACAGAATTCCACCTTGCTATTTGTTAGCATCAACTTCGATGATGGCCCTAAACATGTGATCAATATTTCTTGGCCTGACAAAGTTGTAGTTTAAACAAACACATCAGTTAAATACAGAGATATCCAGAGGAAAACTCAACTCACAGATCAATCTTTCAAGATTCCTGCTTATGGGCAGGTGAATGCTTATTTACCCCCTTGGACAGGAGCTAGTCAGCACTGATGAAGAAATAACTTGAAGAAGAGTAAGTTGTTTGGTGTCCAGCTTCTACAAGTACCTACCACTCAAAAGGATGAGAAGGGAAGCAGGAAAGAAAGAAGGGACAACTTTAGAGCCCACTCTGCTTCCCCAGGTTAGCTCGGCATACCAAGGGCAAGACTCCCACTCTAATCCAATAGCAGGCCTGCCTAAGGAGCAACATCTCTGTAACCACCATGTGCAACTAGGAGCACAAGTGCCACGCCAGCCAGCGCTAAGAAAGAGACAAGAAACTTCTTAGCCCACCCAATCCTCTGCACACTTACACACACTCTCCGCTCCTGCAAAAATTTACATCTGGTTTTACTCCCGAGTTAGAGATTTCCCTCTAAACCACACCTTATTTGAATAGATTGGAAATACATTCTGAGATGATAGCCCTCTGCCTGGTGGCTACAGAGCAATCTTAGATAGCGCGGATGGAGACTGTGTACAAAATGAATCCTCAGCACAAGTGACAGAAAATGTGAGGTCTCCCAAGGGTATCCCAAGATCCCAGCCTGGTTAGAAAAGTTCAGAAGATACCTATAAGATCTTTATTGCGACGATCCATGGAAAGGTTTCTCAGGGCAATTGACACAGCCCTCACAACCTTGTCAGAGTCGGACTGGAGCAGCTCCACAAGCACTGGTAAGCCTCTCTCCTTCCGCACTGTTGCACGGATGTACGTGGACCACTGATCAGAACACGCAAGGGAAAAGAAACAACACAAAGTATTGTGAGTTCATATACCTGCCCTTCCCTTGCTGCTGGCATTTCTTTCAGTGCTGTAATTCATTTTTTTCCCTGCAAAGACTAGTTAGGTTGTGTGTGCTGATGCATCTATAACTTAACCCATCATTCAAGTTCATCCAGCACCAAGGAAGACAGGAGGTAGAAGTTCATCCTGCAGCTTAGTAAGCCGGTGGGGAAAGAGGACAGAAATAGAAGGAAGGAGCATCATCCACCAGCATCTGTTATGTACACACCTCTGTGTGAAAACACATCCCTCTGGATTAGGAAAAAAGAGGTCATCTGGAGGGAATGGTAAAGCATTCAAAGCATCTGTTATCTTCCCCCACCTCCAATTTCATGCTTTTATTCTGTTTCATGATTGATTTTAAAATAAACTGTATTCAAGACAGCTGAGATACACCACCTGCTGATCAGTCCCATGTTACCATGCTGTTCTAAGAGTGATCAGGCACACCTTTGAGATCTGCCTGATAAGGGCTGGGGAAGCTTCAGAGAGGATATCAGAGGACACTTTGGAGTGCAGCCTCCTGAGCAATCTGACAATCCAATGAATTAAGTATTCAGGACGCTTAATCATCTAACAACAGGCTTTTCTGAATGGATGAAGCCACAGTTAAGTGGTTTAAGTAGTAAAACTTGCTCATGGTTAAATTGTCATGAGCTCAGTGACACTTCCACCACAAAAACACCGTCTGTCCAGAAGATACAAAACATCTTAAGTGGGCAAATAAGATTGAAATAGTTTCTTTGGAGTTCCCACCTCCACCATTTTCAAATGAGACGTAAACGCACAAAGTAACAGTGTACTTGTAACGGGACATAGCTTTGTTCTTTACTTACACAAAGGAAACAAACGAGACTAAAGAGGAGACTGCACTCACTGTCCAGTTGCCAGCACTGAGATTCTGCAAAGCCCCTGCTGCAGCTTCCAGAGTGTTGAAGTTCTGACTTTCGGTGAGGATGGAGAGGTACAGTCGGACCACATCTGGCTGGTACAGTAATTCAAAGCCTGCAGGTGGGGGAAAACAGAAGCAAGAGAAGCAGAGAAGGTCTTGTATGAATAAACATGTAACAAACCTTTATTTAATCACATAAGAGAACAGCCAAGAGAAAGCTACACCTCAGAAACAAGGGCTTCTGCCACGTCCAGAATATTTTGTCCACAGTTGTTGAAAATGGTGCACATGGGAACTCATGCACAGGACATTCACCTGGGCTGAAGGTCCCTTTGCTTGTCTTCAGGTTGACAACTCTTTCTGGAACCTGCGCTATGCTATATACTGCCCAGCGTGTAATAACAAGGTGACAAAAGGCAATTTTTGTCTGCAAGAATTCTTACTTTGCATCTCTAGACTGGGTTGCAAATTCATGTTGCACTCCTGTTTTCGTTCAAATCTATCTCAGTACCTTTGCAGACACAAACAACAGGGCCAATGACAGCAAGCTACACAATCATACCAGCCACCCCCTTCTCACACCTAGGTGACAAAAGAAAGATGCAAGATGTCAAAGTGACTAGAATCTCCAGTTGATATGGGCAGGCAGAAATGCTGACTCCAGTTCAAATATTAGGAAAAGAAATACACCAGCATCGCACCACACTGGGAGACTGCGACATGCACATATGTTAAATAAAGATCCCCAGAATCAGTTATCAGCTTTGCAGTTTAAGCACTACAGGAATGACAACTATTCCCAGCTCCACCCCAGATTTTGTTTTGTGATGCTGAGTAACTGACAGTAGCATCCATGTCTTGACTTCCTCATCCACAGGATTAGGATTTATCCATCTATCCACATTAAAAAGGGAGTCTTAGCCAACAACTCCATCGTTCTAAGTTACTGCATATTTTGAAGCATTTTTTCTATCTATCTTTACTAACTGTGGCATGACACACTGCACTGATGAGGGAGGAGCACACAAGCATCCAGTTAAACAACTTGCCAGACAAACATGATTTCAAAGATCATGGTACTGTTCAAATTACGTGAACAAAACCTGAATCCCCTAAAGAGTTTTGGTGAGTGCAGGAAGACACAAGCTACCTATGGTCAACATAGGCTCATCTGCAGTCACTGCAGCTGGAAGATATTTCTGGATTGGTCGCTTTTGGGGTGTCTGCAATTTTTTTGCATTACCTAGGAAAGGATTTCTGGAAAAACTCGACAAGAAAGCGAGCATAAAGGTGTGAAGGAGCTCGAGCAAAGAGGAAATTTGAAGCTTGCTCTGAGCAGAATTTTCTTTTATTATTATTATTATTCGTACACATGCAAAGAATGTTTTTCACATAACAAGATGCTGCCCTAGAAATGTAACACAATTCAAAGCAAGTTTTCCACTAGCAAGATAGGAAATCTACAAACACAAAATCACTTCCTCTCTTCAGTACTTTCTCTTCAAAATCACCCATCTCTCATATACATATTTTTCAGCACATATCACAGATTATCTTATTTCAGATGTCTTGGATCAAACCGAGAAGCAAGAAAACTGAACAAAGCTGTGCTATCCAGTGGATATCCTGTATTTTTTTTTCTTTTTAAAATTCTCTGTTGCTAAAGGCTTTCCAAAATGAAAGCCTTACATTTTAAATTTGTTTCTCCATGTTTTTCATACTAGTTATTGCTGTGGGGCTATGTGAGTCAAGATCTTGGAACTCAATACTTTAAACCTTGTATAACACTACCCATAAACACAGGCCACATTAACCCCCTGGATATACAGGGCTTATTCATCCCATTGAAAGCAAGATAACACATTTCATCAGCCAACAGCTTCTTTGCTCCATACCAAAAAACCTGATCTATGCATAAGGATCCATGAGCTCCCACGTGCTGGCTCATACTTTCCTGCTCAGCTTCTCACATGCATCCCAGCATGCCTGCATTCTTCTCAAACGACTGGATAGGTAACCTGCTCCCTGTCTGTGACTGGTTTTAATGCCACCACTTGCTTGCTACATGACACCCTATAGATATGTGCAAGCCACAACAGATGGCGATCCCCAAAGGCATCCTGCCAATCCATATCACTTACTTTCCTCTTCTCCAATGTCCTCTCCTTGCATTGGGATCATTGCCCTCTATATTGAATGCTGAGAAAAACTGTAGTTAATACATGAAGCATGAACAGTTGTATAGCTTTTCTCCATTCCTCAAGTAAGTTTGTGATTATCTGACTCCAATATGACCTTCATAGCACCTTCTTCCTCTGCCACTTCACAAGGTGAACTGGCAATCTAAGAACTCAAGAAAAACACCGCTCCCCGATAAGCGTGCAGTAGTCCTTTCCTGAACACTAATACTTAAAAAATATCTTAAGATAGCTCACTGGAATTTTGACACTGTGTTATCTTTCAAGGAAGCTTTGCCGAAATGTAAATCAGATCAGCAAAAGAGATGAAGGCAGGTTCATTAACAGAACATAATATTCATACAGAACATTTACCGCTTCTGTATTTGAGCTCAGACTTGCCTGTGGTTGAGTAATATGCAATTGTTCAGCCAGTCTTCTCTGATGGCTTTGTTTTAAATGCCTAGTTATAATTTCTGTATACATGGGAACAGCCCCACATGTTCACCCTCCCCTGTCATTTAAGTGCAGCCTACAACGTGCTCTTCCTGTCAGCCTGTACATTCCTTTTTGGGTTGACAGTCCCTTCTTTGCAGCACCTCGCTGTGTACGAATACTAAGACGCAACAACCCTCTCACCTCTGCTCACCCCCTATGGACAGAGCTGCATTCCAGTCACGCACTTCCCACCCGCTTTCTGTCATTACTTCTCTTCATGCATGAAAGCCTCTCCTTTTTCCTCCTCACTAATGCAAGAGCATCTCAAAAACGTCTTCACCTTCTATCTTCAATAATGCACAGCATTTCCTCTGCCAATTACCAGTACATCCCTGCTTTGGGGCATAACCCCTCAGCCAGTTTGGTGGATAATTCCCACCTTGCTCCACACATCCCCACTTCCCCACTACATTTATGCCTCTGCCTTATCAGCAGCACCTGTTTTAAATGGAGTTAGCAAGTGCTGCGCACCAAACACAGAACTCTGTGCTCCCTCATGTCTTCCCTGCTCCTCTCCAGGGCTGCATGCTGCCAGCACTTCTGCGTCAGCCTGGTTATGCCAGAGAAAGGCAGGCAGGAGATGCTAAAACAAAGTATTATGAATGCCCCTCATGGAAGGTTACTCATTAGCAGAGATGAGAACCTAATAGCAAAAAAGTTACCGCTGCACCAGAGGGTTTTTCCCTCATTGACAGCAAGCTGACACTTTTCATAAATGTTATAGTCCCTTAAAAAGAAACAAACGAGTTTTATATTTTCTCCATCTGCCTCCTGTCCTAATGAATTCAGCTCTGCTATTTATAGGATGCAGTTTGTCTGAATTATTAAAAATTTCCTTCCAGTGTTGCGTGGAGGCCTCACACATTTTTCCGTGAAGCACTTCAAGCACGTTCCCGGGAAGCACAGCTGGTCTCACCTTCATTAAGCACCTGCTTCTCTTCAAAACTGATTTCCTTAATTTCAAGATCATCTTAATTATTTTTTTCAGGTAATGCTACTTTTGTACAATATACAGCTAATTGCTTATATCCATTTTTTAAATGGAAATGAGAAAAGAGGGTCATTAGTGATAGGTAATACATCAAACAAGAAAAACACCCACTGTTTTTCTTTAACAGGCTGTTTTAATTATAGCCCAGATTCAGCATTGCCCTTAAAAAGATACATTCTCCTGAAACAAATGAGACTTTTCCATTGGTTATGGATTTGTGCTGAATTGCAATCTACACTGTTTCCTCCTGGAAAAGCATGGGGATAAGTCATTTATTGCTTTTTTCCATTGCAGAAAGCAAAGCAAACAAGTTCATCATTATTAGCTTTTGCTTTTTAGAGAGACAGAAAATGCCTCGGACACTGATGTCATTGTGAGCATCAGACATTTTACAGCTTCTAAGCATCCCCCCAGCTAATGGCACGAATGTGTATACAAAGGAAGATCTTCCACATTAGCCTCATCTTCATCAACATGCTGTAGTCTCATTTTTCTGAGAAAAAAACCCCAAAAACCTGCTTTGCAGCAGAGTTGCTCAAAATTGGCAAATTGATTAGTTCTGCATGAAGTTCACACTACCAGGAGATGCCAAGTGGATTATCCTTTATTTGCCCACAGAACAGTGACGGCCCAGACAGCAATTCCAATCCTGAATGGAAAACACCTGAGGAATTAACTAGGGCTGATTAGCCCTCTCGATCCACTCAATCCTCAGTCCCTGCGCTGAGAATGATGCAGCAGTTCCTGGATTATCTCCTCCACAAACCTATTTGCTTTCATCTTGGCAATACTGACCCTGTGCCTATACTTAGCTACATTCTGGCAATAACATAAAATACCGCACCAGGTGCCTATCTCTGATACACCAGCTCCATCCCAAATTCAGACAACTCTCTTTGGAGCAAGGTTGCCAAATCTATTCCCCTTCACCACCCATTCCATTTAGGGTTTATTCTCCTCCTACAGGCAAGGGAAATTATACACATGTGGATACTGGTCAAATGAGAGTTCTCCTATGGCTGCAGCAGAAATGTGCTGCTTCTTTTTCTATCCATACAAAAACTCTGTGTTGCTGTTTAAAAAGCAAATTTCATATGAAGCTGGAAGGATGCTGGCAATGCTGTAGGAAAAATGAAAAAAATCCCTAGCTCTGGGGGGGTGGGGGTGTGTGTGAAATCACTAAAATGAACTCCGACAGCTAATCATTCTTGCAGCGTCCATAGGCGTGTTCACATTACTGTTTTGATTGGGACCACTTTTGAAGCAAATTTCCCACTTCCTGCGCCAGTTCCCAACTCAGAGAAGTGGCGGCACCACCTGGACTCCTTCTGGGACGACACTAACCCAAGAGATGCACTCCAGGACCATACCAAGGGTGTGCCGACCAGGAATGGAAGTTCAAGGGCTGATCTGCTCGCCATGAGCCTCATCTGCTGTGCTGGCCGAT